ACTGGCATGACAGGGGAACTGACCAAAGAGATTTGACACCCAATCAAAGCAGACACAGGGTATAAAAAATGGTGCTATCGTACCAGTACTCCTGACTGAATATTAGACTTGGAGATAAGAACATCCAGGGAAGGTGTAGAAAAGATTCTAGCTGCTTCAGCAGTTATAAGGAACTAACATATTCAGATTTTCCTTAAATTGTCTGTCTGTCCATTAAATGTTTTAGTCATGATTATAGGGATGATCTCCTTTTGATACTATTTTTCAAATATCATCAAAGACTAAGGAGATTTTGTGATTAGGTATTTGAGCATATCTGTTCTACAGGTGCCAAAGTAATTATGAAGCAATTGATTAAATCCCCTATCTGATTCCTTTAGTTGAAAACATTCAAATAGAAGACCAAGAATTGCCAAATCGTTTTCCAGATGGAAAGTTTAAGCATCGGGTATGTGGACACTTAAGTCAGGCTTCTTGTCACCACATTTAATAATAAAAAGGTGACCTAGGTAGTTTTTAGATTAAAAAGGGTAAAATGAATAACTAAGAGTGTCCAGTAGAAATGACACTTTGGGATCTCCAGTTACTCCTCTGATGTCAATGGCACTGTCACTCAAGAAAAACTTGGGTCGTTTTCCTTGCCATACCTAAATGCTATTATGGGCCAGGAAGATTGTCTCATTAATTTTCATTTCTCCTGATTTCATGGAACAGCCCAGTAAGATGCTGGGACAGAGAGAGTATTATGGAAACATGGTTTCTCCTCTGGAGAACCCAACAGCAAACTAGTAGCTCTCTTAGTTGTTCGTGGTCTCATCTAGATGTGTTCTCATCCTGAATCCATAGAGAGTAAATGTTGGAAAGAACTTTAAGATGTCTTGGTCTTACTTCCTTATTTCACAGCTGAAGAGACTAAAGTCTAGAGAGGTATCCTTGTCACAGAGACTTGCTAATGGCAAAGCCAGAATTTTCCTCTGGTTTCCTTGGGAACCACTGCATTTCACTTCTATCACCCTGCACCGTCAACCACTATATTTCATCTTGCGTTGGGTTATAGGTCATAGTGTGGGCCCAAAAGGAGAAAAAGCTGCTGACAAAATCATCTTCAGAAGTAGAAGACAATGCATCTACGTCTGTGTGTGCACAAGGTGGCCGCAGACACTTTTGTTCCAGGATCTCTTTGTGGTTTACACACTGCCATTCTAAAGTCCTTGGGAAATTTGTTCTGAACGTTTCTAAAGGAACTGTGAACCAGCTCACTGATTTTATCTTCTGCAATAGACAGTAAAGACAAGCATCAAAGCAATAGTAGTGCAACATAATTTACTTTCAGACAAATAAGTCCCCGTGCAAATTATCGTTCACTTTAATCTAATGTAGGTTGCACCTATTCTCATGTGATGAGTTTTTCCCCTTTCCCTTTTGCTTATACTTACCCTCAGTTCTTTAAATGAAACAAGCATTATTTTTCTTCTTTATACTTGAAAACTATTTTATTCTAGAACAAAACACCTATTCACAAAAGTGAAAAAATATAAATGTACAATTTAACGAATAGTTACAAAACATACTACCTTACTCCTACAATTATCACAGGTCAAGAGGTAAAACATTGTCAGCCCACAGAAGCCTCTCCACCCTGTGCTTTCCTTCCCTATTCCAATTCCTCTTCCCCTTTATACAGAAGCATCATACTGAATTTTGAGATATTCATTTGGGTTACATATTCTGTTTCTGTTCTTTTAGTCATTATGCAAGAAATCACAACATGCATACTTCATTTATCAAAGTCTCAAGTTACATACATCTTTTCTAGCCTCCTAGACAATGTGTTTTAGGTTGACAGTTTCCTTCAGTACTCTAAAGATATAAGATGTAATTCCACTGTATCATGACTTTTACTGTTGATGTTGAGATACCACCTGTCAGTCTAACAGTTGCTTCTAAGCAGGTAGTCAGTCTCTTTTCCCTGGCTGTTTTTAGGATTTTTATTATGATTTGTCTAGATGTGCATATTTTTTAAAAAATCTGCTTGTGATTTGTTAGGATTCTTGAATCTGTGGATTTTGATTGCATTCTGAATAGTTTTTCTAGCCTAATTTTCCAGTGCAACAACTCTGTTTAACCATCTAACATGCTCTTAACATATCTCCTGAGTTTCTAATCTCAGTGTGTTTTTTTTTTGCCAGTTCTAGTTGGTTCTTTTTCAAATTAGTTGACTTTTTTCCTTTAAGTTTCCTGTGATCTATAGATATTCTCACAAGTTTGTCTTTTATTTCCTTAAACACAGAAGGCTCAATTATTTTATTTTGGAGATCTGATAATTTAAATATATAATTGTGTATTTGTTTTTGGAGTCTGTTGTTTCTGTTGTTGTTTTGTTTCCTTGCATATCTGATTATTTTTTATGGTATGCTTGTCATTATAGTTATTATTTGTAGATATGAGTTGAAGCCTAGGATGTAAACCTTTTCTTTCTGTAATAGTTTGCATTTTTACTTTCAAAAGCTTAGGGGTAATAATAATCCAAAATCACCTTAGACAAAGTTCAATGATTGAGATTTTCTGGACCACTGAAGTGATTTGAAGGTGGGCTATGATCTGCATGAAGGCTGGTTTACTTCTGGTTTAACCTGTATTCCAAGGATGTAGCCCTTTGGGATTTTGAGGAGCTTATTGAGGAGAACGTCTTTTACTAGATTTCTCGCTTTCAGACTCTGGGAGTTGACACATGAAAACAGAAGTGTGAATCTGGGAGAACAGCACATGCTCTCGAAGTAAAAGCAACTTCTAACCTTCGCTTATCTCTCTGGATTCTGGTTCTTCAAATTTAATCTAGTAATTTCTTCCTTTTTTCAGCTCTTTAATCCTTTACATTAATATTTTTAGACATTACATTCAGCATTTTTGGTTGTTTTGGTGTGGGAATTAGTTTGAATAATCTGGACTACCATACTGAAAACTAGAACGCTTGTGTTTTCACAATCAAATCCCCAAGTTGAAAATCTATTCCCTAGCAATATGAGAGATATAAATTAAAGCCTACAGGTATTAGGAAAAATAAGTAACTATGGTGAATTTTAAATAAAATGAATGCACTGGTGTAAGCAGAGCCATGAGAAGTGAATCCAGGAGGGTAATGCTAGTCCTGTTATAAAGTGGAACAGTTCTTTCCAAAAGCAACATGGTGGTACAGAGTGTTTTCAGAGTCTTTAAATATTTTGCCCACATGTCAAAATATTTACATAAAATCAAAATGCTGAAAATAACCCCAACAGTCGACATTAGTAGAATGCTTTAACAAATTATGATAGATGAACATTATGCCCTTTTATATAGCCATTAAAAAGGATAAGTATGATGACTACATAAAAAATGGAATGTTTATGATATAACATTAACTGCCAATAGAAGAACAAAAGGAATAGGTTTGCTATATAAAATAAGTATATGTCTGGAAGGTAAAGAGCAAAAATGCACAAATGGTATCTCTAGTTCACTGGAAAAGGAGGAGTAGGTAATATTTTTCCTTAAAACTTCTTTGTACTTGTTACATAGTTTTCTCAAGAATAAAAACAGGAACTTTGAAATTTAAGCTAAAAACTGTCATGCTAATAATTTTTCCCAAACAATTTCAGCATGAGACTTTTAATTAAAAGTCATATTAGGGCTTCCCTGGTGGCGCAGTGGTTGAGAATCTGCCTGCTAATGCAGGGGACACGGGTTTGAGCCCTGGTCTGGGAGGATCCCACATGCCGCAGAGCAACTAGGCCCGTGAGCTACAACTACTGAGCCTGCGCGTCTGGAGCCTGTGCTCCTCAGCAAGAGAGGCCGCGATAGCGAGAGGCCCGCGCACCGCGATGAAGAGTGGCCCCCCGCTTGCCACAACTGGAGAAAGCCCTCGCACAGAAACTCAGACCCAACACAGCAAAAATAGATAAATTAATTAATAAACTCCTACCCCCAACATCTAAAAAAAAAAAAGAGTTCTCAGGCAACAAATGGCGGGTGAGAGAGGAGGGCTAAATTTGCTAGCCCCCTCCTTTCCTCTCACCCCACCCCCGGGCAAAAAAAAAATTAAAAAAAAAAAAAAGTCATATTAAAAAGGAAGAAGAAAAAAGAAAAAGAAAAAGGAAGGCAAAGAGTTGTTTGAACTTATAACTGAATAACTCAGAATCTGCAACCAGGCCAAATCCATTTCAGCTTCCTTCCTTCTTCTGTGATCCCCATGTAGCTTTTGTAAAAACAACCTTGGTTTCCTATAAGCTAAAATTTATTTTAAGAAATGAAAAAGTAAACAAAAATCTGGGTCTTTACCTTTATCATCAGACTTTGATTCGGTTCTCAATGGATGAGGTTCAGAGAAGACATGTTTCTATCATTTGAAAATGATTCATCTGTTCTTTCACCCTCTAGCGGGAGGGTATAGTGTAAATATATACTCTTATATAACCATTCATTTTTAGTTTAAGCTGTTTTGTGCTTTAAAATGTTTCTTCCCTAAACTATGTCTTTCCCCAGATCTCTCATTGTCTGACTAAAGTGCTAATCCTCCTTCAATTTCAATTTTCAAAGTCACTTTCTCCAAGTGGCATTATCTGATTCTCCAATCAAAATGTGAACCCATCTACCTTTACTTGAATAGTACTCCATTCCTAGCATGAATTATGGTGCATAACTTCGTATTTATCTATCATCTGTCTCCAATATGAAATCTGCCCAAAGGCAGGAACAATTTCTGTTTGATTCATACTATGTAAATATGTTATTTAATATATTACATATTATATATTCATATATGATAAACAAGTCTCTGGTTAGGTTTTTTCCCAAGACACAGTTTTACCTTCATGTTCTATTTTTTGGTTGTGAAGTTCCTTCATTTTGTTGCAATAAAGGTGACTTTATGAAGAGAAGAGATGACTTTTGTGCTCAAATATAATGATTAGGTCAACAGAATCGTAAAATGTCACTTTTGCTTTTTTTTTTTTTTATTCCAGGAGAATTCAATGCTTCTGCCACGTCTGAGATGTTTATATTTCACAATGGAGGTGTACAAATTTTATGCAAATACCCTGATACTGTCCAACAATTTAAAATGCAGTTGTTGAAAGGGAATAATATACTCTGTGATCTCACTAAAACAAAGGGAAGCGGAGACAAGGTGTCCATCACGAATCTGAACGTCTGTCAATTTCAGTTATCCAATAACAGTGTCTCTTTTTTTCTGTATAACTTGGACAGTTCTCATGCCAGTTATTACATCTGCAAACTATCAATTTTTGATCCCCCTCCTTTTCAAGTAGATATTCTAAGCAAAGAATATTTGAATATTTACGGTAAGACATTGTTTTAATCTTCTAGACTTAAGAGTACATAGGCATTTTAACAATTTTTCTCACTAATGAAAACAGTTAAACAAATAAATATCTCTTGTGTTGGAGTTCACTTTGGTGCAATTGATGGCAATAATTTATGATGAAATACATCACTACAAGGATGTTTATTAATAATAAAAATAATTATATTAATCAGTAATATGAAATTTAATCATATAGACTGCTGAGTTAGAAATAGGTTACGTTGTCTCTAAAACACACATGCCATTGAAAATCAGGAAAAAAAATTAGGAGAAATATCCAAACCCATGGCTTAATGGCTGTGCTTCTATTCACCTAAAGTTTAAGGTTTGGGTTTTGTGCTGGGAATTGTGGAATTAAGTGAGATGATTGAAAACAATAGTTTTATACCTTTACTTTCCTACTTATTCTTTTTCAAAAACATAGATAGCGAAGTCTTTTCTATTAACCACATTTATAGACATATATGTGCATAGAGTCTTCGTTTTTAGTTTCTGGATCCTTGCTATCATACCGAGATGATGTTATTTATTTACTGTTTACTGGATTTCATGATTGTAACGAAGGCAAGATTTATGGCAAGCTGTTTAATTTAAACAGCTCTTTTAAACTTGTTAAGTGAACTTGTGATCCAGCACTGAAAGAGGAGATTTGATTCTGAGAGTTTTTCCTCACCTTAATTTTTTTCCAACCCAGAATCACAGGTTTGTTGCCAGCTGAAGTTCTGGTTACCCATAGGATGTGCGGCTTTTGTTGTAGTGTGCATTTTTGGATGTGTCCTTACATGTTGGCTTACAAAAAAGGTGAGCAGGGCTTCCCTGGTGGCTCAGTGGTTGGGGGGGTCCACCTGCCGGTGCGGGGGACTTGGGCTCGTGCCCCGGTCCGGGAGGATCCCATGTGCCACGGAGCGGCTGCGCCTGTGGGCCGTGGCCGCTGGGCCTGTGCTCCGCAGCGGGAGAGGCCACAGCGGTGAGAGGCCTGCGTACCGCCAAAAAAAAAAGGTGAGCAACATTGATCTTTTCTTGCACTGGCTTTACTGAGGGATATGAGCGGTTATTTACTCATCAAAGTATGTATTGCTCTTGCCAGAGTAATTTGATCAACAGGTAGATGATTTCTTTTCCTCCAGATGTGCCTGCTAATTAAACTACTAACTTGGAACAGAAGCTTACTTACTTTCTAGCCACTTCATTCCAAAAGGAATTCAGTGGCTTACAAAGAGATATGTCATTATTATTATTCAAAAAAGATAAGGAAATTGGGGCCACAGAAAGACAAAAAGGCAGGAGGAGGGTTAAAAGATAAAAAGAGATGCTTCCGACTTTTAAAAATTATTACATGTGGGCTGCAAATCTGATTCTAAGTTTCCAAAGTCAGGGCAGATGAAACAAAATTTTCCTCAACCAGTCAATTAAAAAACAATCAGTGAGAAAGTCTCGTAGGGCACCATCAGTAGTTGAGAAGGAAATTGCCAGCTTCTTTACACAGTAACTTATTAGGACTCCTTGCTTTTAAAGAAAACCACTGAAAAGCTAGGCAGAAAGATAAAAGAATAACAATACGGATAACAACAAAAATCTCTCTGTGCCGGGGGATATTCTTTTTAGTCTATCACAAAACGGGTTCTCAATCAAAGAACCTATACCATTTTGCATATTATGCAAGGGTGTTAGCATCCTCAAGTATATCCGCAGTGTGATGGTTGGCCGTACAGTGCGTATATCTGTGTCAGAAGGGAATTTGAAAAGAGAGATAAAGAAGGAAGAGAGGAAGATAAGCCCCGTGGTCTAAGTCTACTGGGGAAGGAACAGTAAAGGCATAAATGAGAAAAGACGTTGAGCAGAAACAGTTTTTATTTAAAACCCTTTTCATGTTGTTCTCCTACTTAGCCTAAGGTCAGGAGCCTAAGTCACATTATAACACTTTGTCATATACCGCTTCAACAAAGAATAGAAAACAGTAACGAACGCACAAACACATCCCCCACAGGAATGGGGATGGGGAAGAGCAGATGACAAACCACGTTTCTGACATTTCTTGCAGAAGTATCCTTCCAGCGTGCACGACCCTAATAGCGAATACATGTTCATGGCAGCAGTGAACACTGCTAAAAAGCCTGGACCCACAGGTACAGTGTGACACATGGGGGCTTGGGAAGGGAAGAGCG